TCATTAACTGCAGCCTCAGGCAATACAAGGCATCCTTATATATCTGGTCCACGGTCACATTCGAGCAGCAGCTGCTAGATGGGAGACAGGAAAAACATGCAGAGCAAAGAAGATCTCAGGTGAGTGAATACCGAGGCTTACTAGCAAGCAGGGGTAGAATGGGAGTTACAGTCCCTCGGCCGGTCCTCTGATGGTTCAGATTTGGCTGGATGCGGGATAGGTGGATCACACACTGTTTTCTTCTATCTCTCTGTGAAACTGGCAGCAAAGTCTCTGCACTTGAGGTCCTTATTGACATTTACTGTCCAATGTTTGATTTATTGCACTTTGTGGGGATTACGACAGGAGGAGGAGTAAAGCGTCCCTTCATTGGGAAATCTTACGGTTTCCATGCCAGCAGTTTCAAAAGCAAAGGTGACAATTCTAACGAGGTGGCCCGAGTGTTGGGTACCGGTGGCGCAGATTGCCAATATTATCGGGCCACTGTACATGTGTTTGTCCCACATATTTGTAGCCTGTAGATGGTTGTTTTCTATCCAGTAATATAGAGCAATGGACAATTATGAGTACAGGAACCCTGCCTACTGACTGATCATATAGCTTTACTCATAAGTCTGAAGGTTGCCATTGGTTACTGCACTTGCTTAGCTCTTGAACCTGATATATAATGTCAGTAATGTGTCATTGTAACACTTTTAGGTATTTATTAACTCTGCAGGGATCACAGTACTCCCCCTGACCATGCCTTCAATTCAGGGACACCTCATTAAAATAAAACCTTCGCTTTTAGATGAGATGTAGAAAGAAGGGAGCCATCTTGGTTCGGGTATCATCCAGGCTTACCAAACCCTAAGATGCCAGGTCGGAGATGACACCATCATAGTCATGACTGAGGATCTCTCTCTCATCTATTCTCTCTCTCTCTCTCTAACTCTCTCTCATCTATTCTCTCTAACTCTCTCTCATCTATTCTCTCTCTCTCTCTAATCTATTCTCTCTCTAACTCTCTCTCTAACTCTCTCTCATCTATTCTCTCTCTCTCTCTATCTCTCTCTAACTCTCATCTATTTTTTCTCTCTATCTCTAACTCTCTATCTCTCTCATCTATTCTCTCTCTAACTCTCTCTCTCATCTATTTTTTCTCTCTATCTCTAACTCTCTCTCATCTATTCTCTCTCTCATCTATTTTTTCTCTCTATCTATCTCTAACTCTCTCTCATCTATTCTCTAACTCTCTCATCTATTTTTTCTCTCTCTATCTTTAACTCTCTCTCTCTCTCTCATCTATTCTCTCTCTCTCTCTCTCTCTCTCTCATCTATTCTCTCTCTCTCTCTCTCTCATCTATTCTCTCTCTCTCTCTCTCTCATCTATTCTCTCTCTAACTCTCTCTCTCATCTATTTTTTCTCTCTATCTATCTTTAACTCTCTCTCTCTCTCTCTCTCTCTCTCTCTCTCTCTCTCTCTCCTGGAGCTCAAGGGGCGCCTTTTTATTAATAGAGTTACTGAGAGGTCTACTAACAATAAACCAAAAGTATTCTGTGAAATGGAGGAAGAGCTGATGCACGTCATCCTATTCTTCTGATGAATGAAGCTCTGATCTGCTGGTGAGAAATACACAAACACTTTTCTATGAATTCTTAGAATGTATATTTTTTGATTCGTTTTAGATAGAGTAAGGGAGGGTTATATCCACTGTCAGCTTCTTGTTGGAGATTTCCCTTCACTTCCTGTCTGATAGCCAAAAAGGGAAGTGACTGTAAGGGAAATCCCTGGTGGTCAATAGGGTCACCAGAACTAGTGTCCCCATAGCAAGATTCCCATTCTGGTGACAACCTTTCTTTCACTTTCAATGATAACGACGGTCACTCGGACCAATAGGTGGGTGAATTTCCCAAACAGGGTCACAGCCAGCAATGAAAACCTGACGGGAGTCTAATCCCTCTCCACTCCATCCATAACTGGAAAAAAGAAAAAGCTTTGGCTTCAGGTGCACTTTAAGGTTCTGCTTTGCCTCATTCTTGGAAACCCTCCTATTCCTTCTGTAGGTATGATGACTGTGAAGAGACAGCTCGTTGGCTCTTGGACCGCATCCAGTCTCCTCCCGTGATTGCCATCATCTGCGGGTCTGGTCTGGGGCTTCTCGCTGATACCCTGACAGATGCCAAGACCTTCGACTACAGCCAAATCCCACATTTCCCTACCAGCACAGGTACGTGGCTGCTTCTGCAAAACCACCACTTACCAGATGGGCCATGCACACAAAAATGGCGGCCTCCACAAACGGTCCACAGACAATGGCTGCATTCTCCAATTGTCCACACAAAAATGGCGGACTCCACAAACTGTCCACGCACAATGGCTGCTTTCTTCAAATGTCCACACAAAAATGGCGGCCTCGACACTGTCCATACACAATGGCTGCTTTCTTAAAGGAAAATAAATGGTGGCTACAAAAATTCACACACACAATAGCCGGCCTCCAGGGATTCACATAAAATGGTCATCTCCATTCATTCTCCACAAATCCTCCTCACAGAATGGGCTCCAAATCTTCAGCTGGCTCGTTCACTATCCATTGTATACCGAGATCACTCCATATTCTGGCATGTTCATGTGTCTTTGTACTTGTCATTCCAGTGGTTGGGCATTCGGGGCAGCTGGTGTTTGGGAATCTTCAAGGCAAGTCATGCGTTGTTATGAAAGGTCGCTTTCACGTCTATGAGGGATATCCGCTATGGAAGGTAAGATTTGGGGGATAGAGGCATAGTGCCACTTCTCTTGTCCTGTATGCCGGGTGTCATTCTCAGTATCTGTTCTTATTCTGTATGTATGGACTCTGCACAGTACCACTTCTCTTGTCCTGTATGCCGGGAGTCATTGTCGGTATTTGTTCTTATTCTGTATGTATGGACTCTGCACAGTACCACTTCTCTTGTCCTGTATGCCGGGTGCCATTCTCAGTATCTGTTCTTATTCTGTATGTATGGACTCTGCACAGTACCACTTCTCTTGTCCTGTATGCCGGGAGTCATTGTCGGTATTTGTTCTTATTCTGTATGTATGGACTCTGCACAGTACCACTTCTCTTGTCCTGTATGCCGGGTGTCATTCTCAGTATCTGTTCTTATTCTGTATGTGTGGACTCTGCACAGTACCACTTCTCTTGTCCTGTATGCCGGGAGTCATTGTCGGTATTTGTTCTTATTCTGTATGTATGGACTCTGCACAGTACCACTTCTCTTGTCCTGTATGCCGGGTGTCATTCTCAGTATCTGTTCTTATTCTGTATGTATGGACTCTGCACAGTACCACTTCTCTTGTCCTGTATGCCGGGTGTCATTCTCAGTATCTGTTCATATTCTGTATGTATGGACTCTGCACAGTACCACTTCTCTTGTCCTGTATGCCGGGTGTCATTCTCAGTATCTCTTCGTATTCTATATACATGAAGATACATGTGGCATTGCACAGTGTCATCTCCCTCATGCAGTATGATGTTATTCCAGGTGTTATGAAGGGTCTGTCCTGTGCAGTGACTTGTCTCTGGTCCTGCACGGTGTATGGGATTCATGGCTCACTCCAGTGAATGAACTCCAGGCTCACTCTTATCTGTGTTTTCTATAGGACATACAGCCTTACACAGCAAACCTTTACCCCATCGCTCTCTGCCTTTCTAAAAATGTCTTTCCAGGTCACTCTCCCCATCCGAGTATTTAAGCTCCTGGGGGTCAAGGTCCTGATGGTGACAAATGCTGCGGGGTCACTATGTGAGACGTACAGCCCCGGGGACTTCATGATCATCCGAGATCACATAAACATGCCGGGATTGGCTGCCTTAAACCCCTTGAGAGGGCCAAACGACGAGAGGTGAGAGGGGAGGAATACTCTGCAGAAAGGGGCTGTATTGATCATGTTCCATTAAACAAGCAGTGGTGATAACCATGCATGCATACGGTGTAATAGTCTGTAGTTGCTGTCCTACAAAAATAGAAAAAAAGTACCCTTGGCGTGTGGCTACCCCTGCACTGCAAGGGTTAAGTGTTCGTTTTGTCTATGGGGGGTCAAATAAAGTAGATATACTTACCTGATCCTTGCTATTACCGGGCTGCTAGGCTGGTCCCTGCAGTTTCTTCTCTCCTGGGCTCTGGCCGTCTAAGGACAGCTGACATCATGAAGTCTTATGCTGGTCCATTGACTTGCACTAGACATGGGGAAGCCGAGGGACATTCCACAGCCGGAGTTGAGGGAGAGAGAGGTGACCGCTGACTACCTAAGGAGGGAAAAACTGCAATATTTGAGCCCCCTGGACAAAACGAGCATTTAACTCTTGCAGTGCGGGGGTAACGATCTAGCAGCCAGGTAGCATCAAGGATCAGGTGAGCAAATCTGCTTTATCTGATTTCCCCTAGACAAAAGGAGCTCATAACCCTTGTAGTGGGGGGTTAGCCCCACTTCAAGGGTAAGTTTTTAATATTCCAAGGTTTCTTCTTGACTTGCTTCTATTTGGTCAGTTAAATACGCTACTAAAATCGTTTCGTTATATCGGTTCTGGAGATGCACCGATAACAGTTTTTCAGTATTGAGTGCGAGTACAGATATTATTTTTTTCGGTACGTGCCGATACCGAGTCTCAGTGCCGTGTGCCCCGAACATCAGGAAGTCGGGCAGCGGATCATGATCCGTCACCTGGCTTCCAGATTGCCTGATTTCACTTGAGGCTACCTGACCAATCAGGAAGCCGGGCGGCGAGTCACAAGGTGCCTGCCTGCTTCCTGATTGGTCATGAAGCCAGACTGCCAAGCAACAAGTGAAGCCAGCTTCCTAATCAATTAGGAAACCGGACGACACATCATGACCTGCCTCCCTGCTTCCTGATCAGCTAGGAAGCCGGCTTCCCTTGTTGCTAGGCAGCATGGCTACCAGACCACCCGAACAAACAAGAAGCCGCTAGGCGGGTTATTACATGCCGCCCGGCTTCCATGACCAATCAGGAAGCTGGGACGCGAGTCATGACGTGCTGCACGGCTTCCTGATTGGTTAGGAAGCCAGGCTGCCTACCAAAAAGGAAGCTGGCTTCCTATCCAATCAGGAAGCCGGGCGGCATGTCAAGACCAGCCTCCTGGCTTCCTGATTGACTAGGAAGCCGGCTTTACTTGTTCCTAGACCGCCTGGCTACCAGACCACCCGACCAATCAAGAAGCCGCTAGGCGGGTCATTACATGCCGCCCGGCTTCCTGATAGGTCAGGAAGCCAGGCTGCCTAGCAACAAGTGAAGCCAGCTTCCAGGCCGATCAGGAAGCTGGGAGGCGGGCCATAACCCACCGCCCGGCTTCCTGATTGGAAAGGAAGGTGGCTCCATGCTCCCTCGGCACTGCTGGTCAGAGGGAGATCTCCCTCCCTCTGACCGGAAGTTCCGGTATTGGAAGTCAGTATTGGAGCATTTGGGCGAGTGACTTACTGGCAGAATGAAAAAAAGAAAAACTGCGACATCTAAGGACTGGCGAGCTGTAGTACATTATATTTTTGTTCTTAGGTTTAGATATGTGTTAAAGTGGAACTCTGGGTACACAAATTTATTCTGGATAGAGTGATGATGAAGGATAACTCAATCTGTCATGCTGGAATGATTCTTCCGTGCTCTCTGTCATGGCACCAACACTGGCCATTGCCATCTTTCCCCCCCATTTGTAGGATTTTGTTATGGCAGGGGCACCTTACGGTACATTTAGAGGACTTCTGATGTCAAAAGTCAGATTTCTTATTGAATGGCCTGGATGTTCTACATTTAATAATATAAAGGGAATTCGTTTTTTTATGTTATCATCGCACTGATCTGCGATATGGCCACTCTATAAAGATATAAAATCCTTTGTTATGACGTTGCAGGTTTGGTCCTCGCTTTCCCTCCCTCTGGGATACATACGATCAGGACCTACGCACCACGGCCTTGGCTATTGCTCGCCGGCTCGGCCATGGAAAGATTACCCATGAAGGGGTGTACTGCATGGTAGGAGGGCCAAACTTCGAGTCGGTGGCAGAAGCCAGGTTCTTGCAGCGGCTGGGCGCTGATGCTGTGGGTGAGTTTTTATTACAACTATTTATATTGTCTTATTGTGAAGGAACACTGGTATTAAAAGACTTTAGACTTGCACTTCTGTGTGCTGGCGCTCTCGTAGGACTTCTTACACGTGGATTCCAAAGTTTGGGTCCATCAGTGAGGAGCAAGCCGACTGCGCAGGAGCAACCTCACTGGAGCCATTGTGCCCTAGGTGAATTTGATTCACTTTCTTCTGCCATTACCCCTTGATGAGTCTAATCAGACATACATATTCCAGTTCATCTCTGCTGAGGCAGCCATGTTAGTAGAGGCAGGGCTTTGCTTTCTCACATCTGGGTTGTTCCCCTGATGACTGGTAATCTGATGGCTGGTGGGGAATATTGAAGAAGCAGCAGGAGAGGTGGAGGAAGCACGGATCCAAAGAATGGATAAAGCAGAAGCAGGGAGATCCTTGCACTACTGCTCCTCTGCTACAGCTTCCTCTCCAGCAAGGAGGATAATAAGCAGCACAGTGACATTATCAGATCTCAATCCAAGACTCCTGGCACTAGCAATCAGAGACAACAGTGCCTTAGATCAGACCTTCTTAAACTGTGGGTCGCGCAAGTGAATGGGGCGTTCGCGACAGGGCCGCCATCAGAGGGCTACAGTCAGTGACTGTTTGAGGGGCCAGGAAGGCCCGGGCTCCATGCAAGCATTTTTTGTTATACATTAAAGGAGAACTATGGGGTCAGTGTTTTTCCCCATAGTTCTCCTTAGGGTTCTCCCGTTACCCTAAGCTCGGTATACCGCGAGCTACAGCTCGCGGTATACTGAGACGCCGCACCTGGAGCGGATCCCGACTTAGATGACGGGATCCGCCCAGCTGCGTGAGTGACAGCTGGCTCTGCCTATCTAGAGGCAGAGCCAGCTGTACTCGCCCCCTCCCACGTCCGTTCCGCCAGTCAGCGCTGGCAGATCGGAGCAGGGAGGGGGGAATCCAGCCCCTCCCCCTGTCACGGCAGAGAGCCGTGACAGGATCGAGAGGTGAGGGAACCCGGTATGTGTTCTCTCACCTCCCGATCTACTGAGCCGACCTGTGACAGTCTCATTGTCACAGGTCGGCTTAGAACTATGAGGTGAGTGGAAATCACTCACCTCATAGTTCTCCTTTAATACGTGAAGTGTATTTGTAAAGGCCCTGGACCTCCCTGCGCACTTTGTATCTACCTTCCTGAGTATGTGTAGGGGGCGGTGCTTTCTTTTATGCGGCAGAAGCATGAAGTCAGGAGCGGAGCACATGGAGCTGCTAGAGGGGAAAGGTAAGTTTATTCCAGCAGACATCTCGGGAGGGGGTGTTTGTGATTACAGAGACAAAGAGCGAAGGGGGAGGGGAGAGACACACAGACCGACGCTGCGTGGGTATGGAAGTGCGTTCTGGCCCGATTGTGGTCAGCTCAATTTGTTGAGGGTCGGGAGGGGGCGTGGCGGTGCAGTGAAGGGCACCGCAGCCACGCCCTCCGGCCACACGGGAACGCAAAGCACATCAATGCCTGGGGTCACATAAAAATTTCCCTTTTTTATGTTTAGTAATGACAATCTACAATCAGATAATTGCCGGCTTTTTATTTTTTTGCATACCTTTTTTTCCCCCCTCCCCATTCTTCTCACAGTGGCCATTTTAACTAAGGGCAGATTACTAGATCTCCCTTTATTTCCTGGAACTCTGGCACATGTGACTAGGACATGTGACCATGCACATCATCTCAGGAGGGGAAAATGTCTTTCCCTGAGATCTCGTGAGATTACAGATTAGATTTTCCAGCAATGCACTGGTGATGTAACCTTCCCAGGATGCAACGCTTGGGCACGATTATATCATCAGTGCCCAAGTGGACCAGGAAGTAGAAAAAAATAAATTGTAAGTAAAATAAAAATATATTTGTTTAGCTAATTAATGTTAGGTGGTTTCATATCAGCATGCAGAGCTGTATGCTGATATTATTTTTAGTCAAAGGGGGTGTTCTATCGAAAGCTTCAGCTCATCGAAATCTCCAACTATCTTACTTCCGGTGCTCAGAAAGACTAGAGCTCTGTACAGTTGCGGTGCGCGCATAGCGTTTTCAGTATACTCTTCGAGTTTGCCACCTGCTGTTAAAATGCAGCTGTACAGAGCTCCGTTAGTCTTTGTGTTTTGCAGTCTAACGCGTCTGGTCGAAATCTCCAACTTGCAAGTTCCCGGCAGTTAGGTAGTTGGAGATTTCGACGAGTTGGAGCTTGCAATAGAGCAGGGGGTAAAAGGCCCTGTACAATCAACCTTTGTACATGTTCCATATAACTTAGCAAGTCTTAAAGTTCAAATATTTGAGAGTTCAAGTCTACGAAGGTACAGTAAATGCTACTGCAGCAAAGTCTTAGTATGAGCCTGTAAAAATTGTGTTCAGCATGCTGCAGACGTTTTAAAACTGGATGTGCATGTCCTGTAGACTGCATAATAGCCGTGCTTAGAACTGCCCCCCTTCCCGAATTAATGCAAGTGCATTAGCATCCTATGAACATGCTACTGCATTTAACTGTCAGATGTGGAAACACGGTTGAGTTGCAGCCTGCAGTAAAAATAATTTGCATACTGGGGATTAGGGACTCCACTTTTTGGGATACTATGAGACAAATTTTAGAGTCCCCTATCACATTCAGAGTACATAGAGCTCAATAACTAGACAGCATACTGTAGAAACAGAAACCGTGTAGCCATCTTCAGTGCATCATAAACAGGTACCCTCAGGAACGCTGAAACAATCCAGTCCCCGCAGCTTAAACTGCCCTGAAAAGGTTCCTATGAACACAAGAGGGCCCTCAGATGCATAGGCATGGCCCATCTGCTATCAGGCACCTGTGATTACTAGCATGCCTCTCAGCCGACCATTCCTGTTTAGCCTATGTAAGGGGCGAGGAAGACTTAATGCAGATACTTCTGACACGGACTTATTTCAGGGGAAACCTTAAAGTGGAACTAGACCCACCGATTTACATTCAAGGCATGCCAACTGTCAAGGTTGCCTTGTCTTCTTATTTCGGCTCTCAACCAAACTTTCAAGTCCTCAAGTGGCTGGTGTCAGAGCTGATCATGTGCCTCACCATGGCAACTGCAATCCAAAAAGAGGCTAAGATGGCGCCTTCCTTGGCTGTGAAGGAGAAGAGGTTGTAGTTCCACTTTAAAGGTGGGACAAGGTTTTCCAGTCTGTCCAATCACAGAACCCGCAGACTGTTGTATCGGTGTGATTGGCAAGTGCGTTATGATGTCTATAGACGCCTGTTGTGACACATCTATTTTAATCTTGTTAAAACCAACCCTTTTCAAGGTTGTACCTGATAAACATTCTGCAGCTGTAAAGGACAATGACCCCTAAATATTTTGAAAGAAAAACATGTACCACAGGAAGCTCAAGGCTAAGAATTAAAGGGACTGTATTCCCGGGGAAAAAGGACAGGGCTGAGTTATTATAAAGTGAATGTCAAAGCAAATAATACAAAAAAACAGATGTAGTACAACTCTGCAAATACCTACACATGTCCCCATGTTGTATCACTTAAAAGAACCGGGAAGTAAAGAACAATACCTTCTGATGCACCAAAAATGCATTGAGCTCATTTATTGTTGCGGACTGAAACACTCAGCTCATGATCTTCAGAGCAGGCATCGCCTCATATTATAGATGACCCTCGCTGTGCCCAGGGATTCCTAAAACCTGGATGACCACAGCGTCCTGGTTGGCTCCTGGTCCACCTCCCGCTGCCCTCCTCATTGTCCAGTGAAGCTGCTTTACACATTAGGTGGCCAATCTAAAGACACAGTGAAGCTCATCTAGGGTACCTGCCCTAAGGATAGTGAGTCCATTTGGTCCCCCACATAGATCCCCTTTAGGTGAATGACTTGCAGTCATGAGCAATTAAGTAAAATTACCTTCTGTTTGCAGGTATGAGCACAGCCCCCGAGGCGGTGGTTGCAAAGCATTGTGGGATGCGGGTGTTTGGCCTCTCCCTGATCACGAACCGCGTGGCCCAGGCGTACGAGATGGTGGAAACGGTGGATCACACAAGCGTGCTGGAAGTGGGAAAGCAAAGATCAAAAGTCCTGCAACAGCTAATTACTGAGCTGGTCAAAACTATCAGCTTCAAAGAAGACAAACAGGATCCAGCATAAGGCGATGTACTGTACGAGAGCTGGCTACTCTGCCCCTTCTGTGCCAGCTAAATTATTTTGGGGTAATGGTAGACCTGTGTTTCCCAAATTTGATCTGGTCATGTATCACCAACAAAACTGTCTTTGCTTAAAATATAAGGGTAAGAAGCCCTGTCAGGTGTTTCTGTCTGTCTCCCCATGTGGAGACTTCCCATCACTTCCTTTCCTAGAGACAGGTTGAGCCTAGGCATCAGGCCTGCTAAAATGACAGTAAGCATTTCTATGAACCACCCAGACCAGTGGTACCCAAACTGGAGCCCAATGCTTGCAATTATCTGACCCTTGGGGCACTCTTCCTCCCAATGACACCAATGAAGGAGCACTCTTCCTCCCACTGACACCAATGATGGGGCACTTTTCCTCCCAATGACACCAATGATGGGGCACTACTCCTCCCACTGACACCAATGATGGGGCACTATTCCTTCCACTGACACCAATGATGGGGCAATATTCCTCCCACTGACACCAATGATGGGGCACTATCCCTCCCACTGACACCAATGATGGGGCACTATTCCTACCACTGACACCAATGATGGGGCACTATGCCTCCCACTGACACCAATGATGGGGCACTATTCCTTCCACTGACACCAATGATGGGGCATTATTCCTTCCACTGACACCAATGATGGGGCACTATTCCTCTCACTGACACCAATGATAGGGAACTATTCCTCTCACTGACACCAATGATGGGGCACTATTCCTCCCACTGACACCAATGATGGGGCACTATTCCTCCCACTGATGCCAATGATGGGGCACTATGCCTCCCACTGACACCAATGATGGGGCACTATTCCTTCCACTGACACCAATGATGGGGCACTATTCTTCCCACAGACACTAGGTCATTATTCACTGACCAACAATCCTAAGGCATTGTTTATTTCCACTTGTGTGCTGGGGCGTTTACTATTCCCACTGGCCAAAATTGGGTCCCCTAAAATCCTAAAGACAGCAAACTGGCCCATTGTTTAGTATGAAGACCCATGTGCTAGATCCTTTTTGTCCACTATGTCGCCCCTTTGCTACTTTACAAATACAACTCTGGGGCCCCAAGAAACCATCACCTAAACATTATGTTTTGCCATGGCAAAAGTATGGGGTAGGCTGCTCTCAAGCCCTGAATGGGGTCACCCTCTGCACACCAACAGGGGCTCATTCTTTGCCTGATAGACTGCCAAAATCCAAAGGAAAGGGACGCCTGCGCTCAACGTGAACAGAGAGTCCCCACCAGGGACCTCCTCCTCTGTGACCTGGATGCATTTCACTTACAAGGCAGGGATTACGATTAAGCCCAGCCTTGTGGGGCGAACTGCATCAGTGGAGGAGGTTCCAGTGGGGGGGACTCTGTTTAGGTTATCGGAATAAAAAAGTTGAGTGCAGACGGAATTTTTTAAGTTTCTTTGGAGTGCCTTCAGGAGCCAAGGGCCACAACTGAAGCCCCATCAGCTAGCAAGCTGACCACTACTGGCCCAGCCTGTGCACCACCTTCTCTAGTGAATACCATTGCACTGCGTCTGACCAAACTAGTCCCAGTGGACCAGAACCTACCCGGGTGAACCTTCCCCGAGTACTATATAAAAGGCTGACCTCTGACCCCCTTCTGAAGATGCTAAATGAAAGGTATTTACATACCGCCTCCCCTATTGAGAGCCAGGCAACTAGCAATTGCAGAATGAAGAGTCAGCCATGGCAGCCTCCTTTTCTCTCAGGAAATGTTCCCTTTACTGTAAGCAAGAGCCGTGAGCATGTCACCTGAACACGGAATGCATTGTATGTGACATGTAGAAAAATAAACATTATTTAACTGTCTATTGCATGCGTTGATATCAATGCGTTGTGTCATTTACAATAGATCGACCCCCCCCAGCAATGGGTGGACGCTGGCTTGCTGAATCACCCAGCTGCTTCCTATGTCTCTTGCGGACTCTGGCAGTGACATATTTCTGTTTTTTCTCTGTACCCCCAAAATATTTTTTTTACTCTTGCAACCTTCTATTCAAGCGTGTGCAAGCGTGACCCTTAAAACATGGCCGCTGCGGGCGGGTGTGCGGCCCAGATCTCAGAGAGATTAAAAAAAGGCCAGCAGATAATAAAAAAAGAAAGATGAGAGCGAAGGAGGAGCCTGCAGCCAATCAGCTTTCCAATGAAACAAGGAAGATGGTTGGTTGCTAAGGGCAACAGCTCCACAGCCGCTACACCTTTACCCAACCAATCCCATCGCAGCATTGGGGACCGCTCCGCCTCTTGATGTTCTTTAGCAGCATCAGCAAGCAACAAGAGCTGCCGATCCTTCCGAAAATGTTACCTGCCTGGCAGAAATGCTGACTATTCCAAATGCTGGACTTTAAATGATAGAAAAAAATATTGCAATAATCGATTTATTGAGATAACGAATTATCAAAATAATACATACACGTTCCCACTGGGGAGATTTACCTCCACTTCCTGTCAGGACAGGAAGTGATGGGAGATCCCTCCAACATGCATAAAAGCAATACTCATGTTTGGTGGAGCTGGGGGGAAGGTACTTCTGACAATATTATAATGCTGTCCATGCCTTTCTGTGTCTTAGGGACAGGAAGTGAGGGGAAATCTCCCCAATAGAGTCACAGACAG